CTATATCAGAAGCCAAGAAGCCCCGTGTACCAGGCTTGTAGACCACCCCGTTCGACACCATTAGATTGAGTAGTGCATAGAGACGTCACCAACAGGCCGACGAAGTCCTCCACGTGCCACCCAGCGGCGAACCGGTGGTTGATGACTCAGCTGATCAACAACATTGGTCCGATGAACAGGTTGGTCCAAACTTTGTGGGTCATGGTACCGGTTGATCAACACAGTGCCATTACATATATACCCACAAAACATTTCTAGACCATAGGGCTCCAAGTGCCCTCTAGATCGATCAATATCTTTTTGGGGTGTTTGAATGGTAAAAATAGCGCTAGCAAGTTGAGGAGGCACTTGGAGGCCTAGGGCAACTGTTCTCACCAAAGCACGGTCATCGATCTGAGCCTGACAGATCTCTTGCCAAGCCTGAGAGGTTGCTGAAATAACAACCGGTTCATGTTTTGAGGAAAGAACAACCGGTTCATATCCACCTTTAGGGTATCCTAATATACGCTAGTACTGCCAATTGTGCTTAGGCGCGTGAAACTTTGGCCTTGACGGCCATCCAAGCTCCTCCACTGTCAGGGACCTTTCGGCCAGCTCGATGTAGGCAGCCATGCTCCGATCCTGTGGTGCGATATGTCCTAGTTTTTGTTTCAACTACTAGTGATATATAGACAAGACCACCAGATGAGTATACAGATCCCTGCTAGCACAGCTAGCGCATTTAAAGTACTGTACAATCATCAAAAGACCTGGTACCGGTGGGTAATGAACCTCACGTGATCCAAAGACATGCCAACAAATGTTGTTGGCTTTTCTTCCAACCAATCCCCTTCATGCAACCAAAGAGTCACAGCAACGGGCCATTCGCTCTGCCTGCAGCTTGGAGAGGTAGAGACCATTGGCTTCGCCCATGGAGTGCCACCGGTGAAGTTCATTCCTCATGAGGCAAGCTGTGGGTGTGCGACAGGGACAGTGGGTCAGGGGGAAGAGGGCCTTGTAATGGCCAGTGCGTGGTGCAAGTAAAGCACATCAACGCAAGACAAAACTGGTAGTACAGTATATCTGGAGACCAAGACGAGCGCGAGTCAAAGTACCAGATCACTAGTCCCTGATGGGCGAGCAGTTGATCGCAGGGCAGGAATGTGGAGGCAAGTTCAAAGCCAAGCCACTACCTACACGGAATTGGCTGAAGGCAAATGTCAATCTCCTGCAGACAGCGCTGTCATTCGCGCGGAAGGAAAGATGGTGAACATTCAGCACGGAAGCCTCGATGTGCGGGACTGTCGCGTGTGGCGAGTGACATCCTGTTCGGCCTCATGTTCGCGGCCTGATGGATGGCGCCGAGGGGTTCGCGGCCTGATGGCGCCGAGGGCGAGGAGCTTTTCTTGAACCAGCTCCTCAACACAACCTCCCTCCTCCTTTGAGACACCATCCCGGATCCAGGAGAACAAATCCGATGCGCCGTTTTGATCACTGAGACAGAAGCCCTACGGCCATCTCTGGGGAAGCAGTCAACCCCGTGCGCACTACCGAAATGCACAGTCCCCGAAGGCCGAATGGTTTGCTCTGCAGTTTTTTGTGTTCAGCCAATTGGCACATCAGCAGAGCCACAATTGTGGGCCGAGCAAGATCTTCAAGACCCCTCGCGATGAGCATTTAGCGTGGGTCGGCAGCGGCAGAGGCCGAGAGAACTCTCAGGAGAACGCTGGCTTCGCTGCCAACTGCATTGGAAGTCGACTGTCAGCGGGCAGCTTTCGCAAAGATGACGCTACTACAGCAGCGATCAGCAGCAGCGGTTTTTAAACCTAAACCCTAACAGCCTAAACACATAAACCTTGATTGTTTGCATCCGCGATGAGGTCTCACAGCCAAACGACCCCAGCAGCATTTCAACTTAAGGCCAGTGTTCTCGTGGCCCTGCTCATGGACCCTTGGGTCGAATACCACGACATCATATCCTACGTTCGGCGGTTGTGACAACCTCTGACATCGCCAACAAGGACAAGCATCGGCTTCAGATGTTGACGGTAATTACTTCCGGGCATGATTATTGAAGATGCTGAAAATCAAGAACCATCGGATATTGATGCCAAGTCTCACACATCGAGACATGTTCTGCAGCAGCAGCGCATCCTCCCCAGCTCCAGCCGCTTGAACACGTCGAGTCTCAAAGGCCAACCAGGCGATGACCACCCTCGCCTTGGATTCGAAGTGGCCCAAGTAACGTTATATAGAGAACAGCTAGCTAATAGTGTTCATGCCACATATAGAGGAGCATGTTGCCATGCCACCATGAGGAGCATGTTGCCATGGTCGTTGTGGGCTTTGTGGTTTTTAATTTTGCGAGTCCTCAAGTTAAGGAGCTCACGTCAGGGTGTCACCAAGGTCTTCAGTTCTGTTTTTGTTGTTGCTGTGCATGTTGCGTGTGTGTGGATATGTGTGTTTAATGGGTGATTGTGTGTTCAGGAGCTCGAGCTCGCGTCAAAGTGTCACCAGGATCTCCAGTTCAGTTGACATCCAAAAGTGCTTCCCTGTCACCAGGGTCTCCACTTGGCATCCAAAAGTGTTACCCTGTCCCCAGGGTCTCCAGTTGGCATCCAAAAGTGCTACCGATTGTCAAGGTCTCCAGTTGGTCGTGTGTTGTGTTTGCGAATAGCTATAATTCAGGTTGTATTTGTTTTAGTTAATGTACTAGGCCTAGGGTGATCTAGGGTGTGTGTGCATGTGTTTGCGATTGTAGGTTTGCGGTTTGTGTCACGCAGCTGATTGACTGTACTGTTTTGTGGCCTGTACTTCTAGTTCAGGAGCTCACAGTCAGGGTGTCGCCAGTGTCTGCAGTTACCATGTCGCCAGGGTCTCCAGTTGGCATCCAAAAGTTCTACCCTGTCGCCAGGGTCTCCAGTTGGTCGTGTGTTTGTCGTTGTGTTTATTTAGCTACACGCGTATGTGATTTAGGTTGCAGTTTGAAAACAATTTGTGATTATCCTAGGGATGTGTGTGTGTGCGTTTGTGACTGTACATGTTTGCGGTTTGTGTTAA